TTCTGTATGTCTGTGTGTTCGTCTGTACCGATTTTTCATCCCGAGACCGGCAAAACCTACAGGGCTGAAACTTTGGAGACATAATCTACATGCACGTACGGGCTCCCATCCCCAAAATGGGTGGTCCTATTGACGTGGTACCCGCGTAAGATCCCGCCAAAATTTTTTTAAGGTGAGTTGATAATTCGCGAACCAGGAAAGCTAGGAAGCTGAAGTTTTAAGGGAATGTTCCCCGTCCAAGTATATGCTAATGAGCTCAAACTCAACCCCCAGGTAAGCGTGGTACCCGCGTATGGGCCCGCCAAAATTTTTCCCGCGTAAATCATAACTCGCGAACCAGGAAAGCTAGAAAGCTGAAATTTTAAGGGGATGCTTCCCGTCCAAGTATATATTAATGAGCTCAAACTCAACCCCCAGGTAAGAGTGGTACTCGCGTAGCGGCTCGTCAAAATTTTTCTCGTGTAAACTCATAACTCGGGGATCTGAAATGCTAGAAAGCTGAAATTTTGAGGGAATGTTCCCCGTCTAAGTATATACAAATGACCTCAAATCCAACACCCGAGTAAGCGTGGTACCCGCGTAAGGGCGCGCCAAAGTTATTCCCGCGTAAATTCACAACTCGAAGATCTGAGATGCCAAAAAGCTGAAATTTTATGGGTATGTTCCCCGTCCAAAGTAGGTACTAATGAGCTCAAACCCAACTCCCGGGTAAGCATGGTACCCGCGTATGGGCCCATCAAAATTTTCCCGCGCAAATTCATAACTCGGGGATCTGAGATGCTAGAAGACTGTAACATTAATAGGGTGTTTCTCGTCCACATTAGTCTCAACGAAATCAAGCCCGCCCACGGCTATGCGTGGTACCTACGCACGAGTTCACCGAAGTTCTCGGGTAAGCTCATAACTGGAGAACATGTAAAGCTAAAAGACTGTAGTTTTAAGAGGATGTTCCCTGTCCAAATAAGTCTCAACGAGCTCAAACCCAGACATCGGGTATACGTAGTACCCGAGTGCGGGCTCGTGAAAAATTTTTTCCAGTAAATTGCTAACTCAAGAGCCAAGGAAGCTAGAGAGCTGAAATTTTAAGGGAGTGTTTCCTGCCAGTTTTGGCGGGCAGTCTTAATTTGTTTAGCTAGAAGGATCTGCCAAAAAACCGATGCCGATAGCGACAAAAACTGCGGGGAATTATGCAAAAAACATATCTTTGCACGGGCAGCCTGTGCGTTGGCCAATTATTTTCTTTGCTCACATGCACTAGCTGCGGCTGACTTTCTCAGTCCTTTTCACTTCTTTAATTATGGCTAAAGTCTTTTACCTGTGTTTGTAGACTGAGCAGGCGCAAAGCACGCAGTTCGATTTCTGCCTTCGTTAGCAGATGTCTGCTTAGAGAAGCAGGAAGATTGCTGAGAAATCGGATTCGTGCCCCTATTCGGTTTTGTATCCTAAAATTTACTTCCAAAATGCACAACTGCACGAAATTTTGTCGCCTCATTGTGGAAGCAAGCTGATGAAATTGATGTACCTGAATTCCCGTTCCCTTAGGATTGCTTGAGGATCAATTCCACATGGAGGCGGGAGAAGTGTGCTTCTGTTGGCACGCTGCTGATGCAAAGTAAGGATTTTCATCAAATCATACGGCAGCTTCTCGCCCGTTTCTGTTTCACCTGGGAACTCGTACGGTTCCGGCAGCAGCGATGGCTTTGAAACGGACGACGAAATAAGCGACTGAGCGACCGGCTCCTGCGTTGCCAGCTGCTTGTAAACGCGAACCTAGAAATAAGCGCATCCAATAGCCGCCACTCATAAATCCAACCATCGGCCAACCTTGTCCAAGCCCCAGCTATTGTTAGATTACAAGGATTTTACAACAAAACAAACCTGCGCTTTCAGCTGCTCCAGTTGGGCGGCCGTAAGAATATACTCCGGCATTTCTTTTGCAGCTGTTTCTAACTGATGCAACTGCTGTTGCTGCTGCTG